TGGATGAGCGCAGTGTGGACCACAGAGGAGATGGCGTCCTCTGTCCTCTTTAATTGGAGATTTGACATTTTATTTGTGCTGCTGATTATCCACGCTGCTGATTTCTTACCCATAAGCTGCTATATTCATACCATCTGCCCACAACAGACTCATGTTCAGGCTGCTGTTTAATACACTGTAGTATATTATATTATAATTGTTTAGTATATATCTTAGATCCTTGTATACTGTATTTTTGCTATTTTGAGGTGTAACTGGGACCTTGAGTACATAATTTTGTTCCACCTCATGTGATGCAAATGACAATAAAGGCACCTTGAACCTTAATTACAGACATGTTTCCTGTTAAAATACACTGAGATCTTCGTAAATCTTTCACAAACTTTGTTCTTGTTCAAATGGACATGTTCCTGTTTTTAGTTTTCTACATTCACCTTATAATCTAGCTGTTTTTGTTACATTTTTATGCCATTTTATTTTAATTTGTAAAAAATGAAACATAAAAAAATCTGTATGCCTTTTTATAATTGTCTATTGTTGTTGCTGTTCATTGTTGTCATCATTCTTTGTTGAAATCAGGTCTCTCTTGTAAATGAGTCCTCGAGGATCAATGGGATTAACCTGACTAAATAAAGGTTGAATGAAAAATATACTGTACTTCAGTATACTTTTGCTAATTTTACTCTGATTATACTACTAGTGTTATAGCTAGTTGTGCTAGTATTAATATTGCTTATGCTAATTTCATTACTTCTAATTATACTAATGCTAAGACTAATTCTAATATTGTACTTTGAAAAAGTCCACTCACACTTTGTCAAAGTCCAGGGAATAAAACATTTGATCAAGATTAGCAGTGGTAGATCATTCCACAGTTTTAGAGCGGCTGTGGCTGAGTGCTTAGAGCAGTCGTCCTCCAATGCAAGAGTTGGGAGTTCGAATCCACCAGCAGTCACATGTTGAAGTGCCCCTGGGCAAGACACTGAACCCCTCATTGCCTCCGATGTGTGTCCATCAGTGTATGAATGTGATAAAGCTCTGATTAGTCTCTTTAGAATGATTTGTTCAATTAGCTTTGTATAAATCTAGTAGAGTGCTGCATGAATGGGTAAATGAGGACACAGTTTGTAGTGGAAAGCACTTTGAGTATCTCGATAAGATAGAAAGGTGCTATATAAGTTCAGTCCCTTTACCATTTACCTGCAACAGAGAAGGCCCTAAAGTTCTACTAATGCTAATTCTCCTACTTTTAATTCTAACACTAATGCTAGTTCTATTATTGCTATTCCTCTATTGCTAATGGTAATTCTACTGATGCTGTTTCTAATAATGCTAGTTCTTCTACTGTGTGTGCTAATACTGCGTGTAACTCCCAATGATGACACAGGCACGACTTCTTTATTTAAAATGGGCGCATTAATGAATGCCGTGCCTGTGTGTCGTCAATGGGAGTTACATTGCTGATGCTCTAATAATTATAATTTCAGTAAAAGCTAAATTTAGCCTTTTACTACTTTTAGATACCATATTGCCTTTTTTAATTCACATTTTGCTACTCTAGCTTTAGTTAGTGTTTTGCTACTTTTAGCTTTTGTTACAGGTTTGCTACTTTTAGCTAGTGTTTTGCATTTTAATTAGCATTTAGCTCCATTTAGCTTTCAGCTCAGTTTCAGTTTTCTTAACTAATTTCAGCGAAGTCATCCAGAACTCACACTGCACTGCATTTCTCTAGTTATGTTGGGATTTCATGCAGTAGATGCTTTGACCCCTTCAAAGTTTTTTTTTACTGTTTTTAATTTTTTTTAATTATTTAGGTAAATGTTGGCTCATCGATAAAATTAACATTTTTCAACCATAAAATGTCCAGTCCAATTCATGTAGCTGGTCAGATTTATTTATGTGAGAACGTCTAATTTAGTTTACTTCCTGGTTGAATGATGATGAGATCTACCATACTTGCCGCCGTATAAATCACATTAGTCCAAATATGTCTAATAAAGTGGAAAAAAAACCCATAAATAAGTCTCTTTGCAGTATAAGTCACATCTATTATGCTTCACCACTGACGCATTGTGTTTGTTACCGTTGACCACCCAAAAATGTGGGCCGAGGTTGTGCCAAAAATCAATTGGCTGCCAAATGGTGGCCGCAGAAGTGCACACGGGAGGACTTTAACAATAATTTAACAAGATTAACACTTAAAATCAATTATTTGTTTGCTCGACTTTATAGTACAGCTTTGTCTCAGTTGAACTTTTCCTGCACTTTAATGGTCAAATCAGCTGTATTTCAAAAATCGATTTGCGGCTGCAGGAGCACACAGATGGAGGACTTGCTGTGCATTTCTTCAAAATTTAACAAGATAACCACCTAAAAACTAATTATTTGTTTGCTCGACTTAATAGTAAAGGTGTGTCTCTGTTGAAGTTTTCCTTAATAAATGCACTTTAATGGTCAAATCTGCTGCATTTCGCCTGGGCGGCATGGTAATATGCAGCTGATTTGACGTTTGCTCCAGGAGTTCCGGAGCAAGATGAAGGTGGAATTATATGGCAAGCCACGTGTCTCATTAATAGCTACTTTTACCTATTAATGAGACACTTGGCTTGCCATATTGCTCAAAGGCCCTGGAGTGGCTGAAAATGGTAGTGTTCAATATTTTCCATGTCAGAATGAATGAAATCATCAGATCTCAGCCAAATATTGGGTTATAAATATGGGGGGGGGGGGACACATTAGTCGCTTCAGTGTATAAGTCACATGACTTGCAAATTTATGCAAAAAGGTGCGACTTATACGGCAAAAAATACGGTAATTAGTGGAAGCGCTGCACCGCTTAAAGGAGTGGAGTGCATTACATGACCTTATACAAATCTTTTGGGCCATAGTTGTCTGTAAATAAGTCCTTGAGGCTCAATGAGACTAACCTGTATAAATAAAGAATGAATGAATGGCTGCTCTTGTGCCTCATATTAAATTGCCTCTTCTGTCTCTTTCCCTCACCCAGAACATTTTCCTGATGGATGATGGTTCCGTGAAGCTCGGGGACTTTGGCTCTGCATGTGTTCTGAACAGGTGCTGCTGACGGCGAGAACGTTTCTTTCTCTGAACAATCCCTCGGTGCTGTGATTTTTTGTTGCGTTGCTTTAACGTTGACTGTGAATTTGTCGCAGCTCAAAGGCTTACGCTCAGGCGTATGTCGGGACGCCGTACTATGTGGCGCCAGAAATCTGGGACAACAAGTCGTACAACAACAAAAGGTACGTCACAACAACTGTAGACTGATTCTTCCACTTGTTAATCAAACTGTACCAGGATAAAAATAAACAAATGGATCAAATAATATGTATTAATTTAAAGTAAGTTAAAAAGTAGTGCTCTAATGATAGAAGGATACAAGGATACAAGGATTTTTATTGCCATTCACATCGCATGTGGTACATGAGGTGGAACGAAACTATGTACACAAGGTCCCAGAGACGTACATGTAGGAAATGGTAATTGTTTATTTTTGCTGTTTAAAAACTAAATGTTTTGTGACCTAGATATAACTTCAGTCTGCTACAGCTTACTTGGAGAAAAAGCTTCCTTCCTTTTTGAACCCGAAGGATGCCGTGTCTGTCACTTTTAAAAATAAAATTAAAGCATGTTCGTTGAAATATTTCACTTTCTAATCCTGCACAGTCAGATAGATTGTAATGCTAATTTTCATTGGTACAGGTATACAAACAAACTCTAACTAGTCCCCAGGTATGAGTGAAAGTGTGGATGGTTGTCTTGTTTGTGTCTTTGTGACCCTGTGATGGACTGAAGACCTGTCCCGGGTGTACACACCCGGAACAGGTCTCATCCATTCAGGTTTACCGTGGATGGATGGATGG